CACCTCCCTCTAAAGCCAGCCACACAAGCTCTGTGAGGACTCCTAGTGTCACAGCCAATAGCCCCTGACTATTACTTGCCCTGATCATCTGCTAATTACTGCTGGTATGAGAAACAGAGAATGTAGAAACTCCAGTGCTAGGGTGTCCAACTATACCACCCCAGGCCCTGCCTGCTCTGTGGGACCCTATGCATACTGCTCTAACTCACCCAAATTAAGGGAAAAGCCCATTGGGCTTGGCACAACATCTCTATGAAAGCAGGTTCACCTGGTAGTGACTAATTTTGTTTTGTTCACACCTCCTTATCTATGTGGATGGACTAGCAAGAAAGGTTGCACCTTCCATTTGACCTTGAAGGGAGGTCCAAAAAGGTCATAAAACTCAGTTAGTAGGACATACCATCACTGAACTATCAGTGTTCAAAACTTGTGAACCAAAAGCTGTTCAACTCCTCTTTCTTCAGTTTCTTCTTGATCTTGGTGGGGGGATAGGGCTGACTTGGCAGCCTGCTCCATGGGACTCAAATCCTAGACACATGGTTTACCAGTGATAGGAACATGGACAAGCTGCCTGGTCTCTGAGCCTCCATTTTCCTCTTTGTAAAGTTATTGCATAGTATATTCAACCTGCAGGGAGAGCAAAGGAGCCAACCTCTAACGTCCTGCACCATTCCTGTTTTAATAATCGCTCGGTGTTGAACACCATTTGTTATCACTCGTGCGCAAGGACACTGGATGTTTCTCCCTGTCACAGCTGTTCTCTGCTGGTCTCAAACTGCCCTGTCCTCAACAAGAGCCAACGCCACCAGTAGGCACCTGAAGGGTACCTAGGATTCAACTGAAATGTGCTGGAAATGCAAAATAAGCAATGAAATTCAAGGACTCTTCGTGAAAAGAAAAATAGTAAACATAAAAGGTCTCATGGACACTTTCACTGCACACTGCGTACATATTGAAATGATATGTGGATATATTAGGTTAGATAAAACACATCTCTAAAATTAACTTCACCTATGTCTTTTTAAATGTGGCTACTAGCAAATGCTAACTCTCATATGCATTAGCATTAGTCCTGTCACATGGTGCTCCTGGGCTCCTGGCTAAGGTGTCTAGGTGCTCGATATACAGCTAGGTGTTGCAGGCCTTTTCCTGATGAACAGCTTCTCCAAAGTGAAAGTCAGTAAATACCAGTTTGGGGCTCAGCTGGCCCCAAGGTGTGAACAGCTGATTGCAGCTTCAACTGCAGGCTCCCCCAATGAGATGCACAGCATAAGCACAACTTTCTAGCAGCTGGACAAAAAAATAGGCTTTCAAATACAGCCATATGACCTTCCAGAAGAAAGATTTCTTTAGAAATCAGAAGTAAGGAAGAAAGGACAATGGCAAGCACTGGAGCAGGGAACAGGGTGTAGGCACTCTGTGTCCTGCCCTGTGCTAGTTCTTTTCAGCTAGAGGTGGATGGGTTGTGAGAAAAAGGTTTGTGAAGGAAAGCAAAATGAGGATAGCTCGTACTGTCCTGGAAGCCCCTGACCTAGAAAGCACATTGTTCTTCCTTCTTTTCCTTCTCAATGCCATGAATACCTTCTTCAGCCTCCTGCTGGGTCTGGACACCTGGCCTTTGGCACAGCCATGGGGCCTGGACCTGAGGCTGCTGCTGGAACCCTGGGTGGGGGACCCAGAATCCCGCAGGCCAGGTGGGGCCAGGTCCTTCAGGTCTGCACTGCAGGAGAAAATGGAGGGATCCCTTCTCAGGGAAGCAGAGACCACAGAGGATGCTTATCGCTCAGCTGAGCCTACTGCCAGTGCCACAGCAAGTCCTCCTCTGTTCAAAGTAGCATGAACCCAGTAGATTTTCTTCCAGGCCCTGCTGTGAGCTGGGATGCTGCAGGCCATCAGGCAGAGGGCCCTATCTGTAGAGAGTACGTGCTCTAGTAGGGAAAGTAACGGTTAGAGTATGTTACTGAGGGTGTGGTAATATGATTTTTTTAAAAATGAGAGGAAAACAAGTAAGGGAAAGGCGGGCCAGTGAGAGTTGAAATTCTAGGTAAGACAATCAGAGCAGATTTGCTTGAACTGATTGCAGAAGTGATGTTCGAGCAGGAAGGTAATGGAGTTGCCCTGGGATGGCTGGGGAAACCATACTGTCAGTGCAAGGGTCCAGAGGCAGGAGGCTACTTGTCAGGAGCCAAGAAACCAGGGAGAGTAATGAGATGAAAGTGGGAAGAGGCCTGTAGAAGAGCTGGCCTGGTGAGCCACTGGTAAGGACTTGGCTTTTACCTGGATGTTTTCTTCACTCTCATGCCATGGTGACTTGTCCCTCTTGTCTTTAAAACCTGACTTAAAAATGGCCTTAGCTGAGTTGGGCTTGGTAACACACAACTATAATCCCAGCACTAGGGAGACTGAGGCAGGAAGACTGCTGTGAGTTGGAGGCCAGGCTGGTCTACATATACTTAGCCATGAGTGTATACTTAGCCATGCTCTGCTCACGGTGGGAGCTGGCACTGAGGAGAACACACTTTCCAGAGAGTTTGTGGGATCCCTTTCTCTCACCTTCTACTAAGTCCTTACCAGCTTCTAGTTTCTCAGACGCAGCAGCCAAGGCTCAGATCCCAGCCTTGCGGGGCAGTCCTGTGCATGGGAGCTGCGCATGAAAATTGTCTAGGGGGCATACCTACACCATAAAAAGAAACAGGTGAAACTACCTCTAATAATGCATTTGACTTAACCCGGTGTATCCCAAACAGCATCTCAACATGCAAACAATATAAAAAAGTGACATAATATAGATGACTTTGAAACTAAATATATGGAGTAACCACATTCAGGAGCTTCATGGCTCCTGCCTACCCAGACAGTTCAGAACTAGATGATGCTCCTGACTTCCCACACCTACTTTTTCTGGGGCAGAATCTTTGTGCTCAGTTATATCTCAATCCTTTTTTTATTTTGAGAGAGTTCTTACTGAGTCCTCTAAATTGACCAGAGTGGGTTCAAACTTCAAATTCTCCTGCCTCAGCCTCCCAAGTGTTTAATCATAGGCATGCAGCAGCCTGCCTGACCTTCTCGCTTCTTGATTTAGCTGAGTCCTCCTGTTTCCAGCTTGAGGTGAAGCATCTTTCAGGAGGTCTTCATTTATCTCTCCACTTTCTTCTTTGGCCTGTGTGGATTAAATGAGTTAAATTATGTAAGGCATCTAGAATTGTGAGCCACCACTGCAGCATTGCTTAGTATGTGATATGGGCAAAGGCTGTGCAGCAGTTATCTGTCTTTCTCTCCTTGTTCTACTCAGCGCTGCAAGAGGAGAAAGGATCCCACCACCAGCTTTCTCCAGGGCTCTCGTCTTGGGCTCTGCGCCTGCCACAAATCAAATTGGTGTATTCAGCAGAAAAGTATCAGATGAATGAAAGAGAAAAGAAAATCTTCCAGGTGATGATGACAAGCCTGCTAATTCTACAGTTGCCACGATTTGAAATCCTAATCCTGGATGGCAATGGTACCAGAATCTGAATTTACAGATGTCTAGACAATGGTCCTCAAGAGATGCATTCTTGTCTCAAGATGGGTGGAAGCAAGGCAGTGTGATAGGAAGGGCTCAGATTGTGAATTCAGAAAGACCTGGCTCTGAAGTCATGTCATCTTATTGTAGGCAGCCGAGTTAGATAAAAATGTTATAGGCAGTCAGACAGGGCTAGGCCCTCAAAGGAGACAGCACAAAAGATGAGATGCCTTACAACTGTGGGAGGGGCGGATGCTCCTGCTGTGAACCAGACCTAAAGACCTAAAGGCCAAACAAATGCTAAATGAGTAGCACCTGGGATTGATATTCCAAATAGGTATCAATCACCTGGAAAGACCCAAGTGAGTAGTCACTAGCCCAACCCCCAACAGAAAGAGACCCTATCCCGCATTCCAACCCCCAACAGGAAAAGACCCTGTCCCATATGTAATCCCATTGGTTGACCATAGTTTTGTCCCACCTCCTGCCCAACTAAGCGAGTTCCCATTCTCTCCACCTTTGCCCCACATGGTTTTACACTATAAAAGTCCCTGAAAGAGACAGCTTCCCAGTGAACTACCCGCTTGGGCCCCCCTCCTGGGGGGGACAGGAGCTTTCTTTCTCTCAATAAATATATTCTGCTCATAACCTCCGTTTGTTCCTAAAATTCATTCTTCGGTTTTAGAGAACACAAACTCGTGCAGGTCAGGCCCAGAGATCATTTTTTCTCTATGTCATTTGAAGGTTCCCTATATCATTTGGAGGTCACCCACCAGAGACCAGTTTTTCTCCCTGTATCAATCTCATGTACTGATGTACTACTTGTATGGTGTGGAAGAAGTTACTGAACTTTTCCAGGCCTCTGTTTGTTCATCTGTAAAATAGGATGTGGGCAGTTCTTCTCCTTACATATCTACATGCAACACTGGTTTGCTAAGGATGAGAACACAAGCTCTGATCTTGGTGTAGTTGCTGCCAGTGGCCTTCTCCACCCCACTGACCTTCCACATCCACCACACCCACAGAGGTATGTGTTTTCAGGAGTTACTGAGACCTGATTCTGTACATGTAAAGGCTTGAAAGACAGTGTATGTCTGTGCTCACTTCTGTACTTTAATTTCTGTCCTATGAATTCTTTCTTTCTTTTCTTCTCCACCTAGAAGAAAAGTTCAAGCAGTTCACTAGCTATCCTGCCTAGTGGATACTGTGGATGAGTTTTCCAAGGACTCCCCATTGGGCAAAGTGTGACTTTAGCCCCTGAGCCCTTTTGCCTCTGTAAATCTTCCCTGCTTCTTCTAGAAAATCCTCTCTATGCCATGCAGGTTCCGGGTATTTTCTTCTGTTGCCAGCCAGCTCTCCTGGATTACTTTCCAGCTGGCTATAGAGCTGCTGGGCATCCAGGAAGGCTTCTGGCTGCTGCTGCTGCTGCTGCTGCTGCTGCTGCTGCTGCTGCTGCTGCTGCTGTGCACTCTCTGAGCTCTGTTGCTCTGCTTCAGAGCCTTTTCCCTGGCTTCCTAAATGTCTGTTTGTGCATTTTTTCCTCCCCAGGTGCTGAACAGTGTCACAGATTCGCTTCTCATTTTTACGGATCTGAGTCAATTGCCCTCAGCCGGAGATGGGTAAGTGTGCCCTGGGTGAGCGCATGAACACATACTGTGTGAGTGAGCGTTGGGGATTGTTTTCCTCCCAAGCACACCAGGGACAGACAGATGCATAGGGTGAGAAGCTGCAGTGGGAGGAGGCTGGCTGTGTGTTTGAAATGAAACTCAACCCTCAGAGAAGCTCTTCTGCGTCCTCTGGGAAAAGCGCGGGGGGAGGGGGTGGAGTGGCAACCAGGAGACCAGGGGGCTTACAAGGTGCCCTCTTCAGCCCTGAGTCAGCAACCCCTGCCCCCAAGGACCCAGGAAGATCCTGACTGCAGGGGCTGAGTCACAGGAGTAACTGGAATAGCTGTTTAGATCATAATGAATTCCCAGAACCTTTCCAAGCCAACCAGCAGACACAGGCTGTCTCCTTGCCCTAGATGCCTTCCAGCTTGGTGACTCTGCAGAAAGGAAGAGGCCAGGCCCTGGCTCCTGGCGGTGTGGGTGATGGGGCAGCCACAGGGCACAGAAAGCCTCTCCACTCCCACCTCCAGCTCCTGCAGGTTGGATCCAGACCTGTGTACACCCATCCAAGGTGGGGAGAAAGCCCAGTTCTGTGGGGTGAATTGGAGAGGCACAAAGAGTGCCTCACTGGGACTGGTTAGGGTGCGATGGGCACTAACCTCCTCCTCGGGAGCCTATGGGCCTAGCTTAAAGGGCATTAGAATCTGTGGGCCTCAGATTAACAATCTCTGAGCTCACAGGCAGGAGCCATCTCTGGAGAAAGGCAGGGCTCAGAGGGGCACTGGGCACGTGGGTCTGGAGGTCCGAACTTCAAAGCTGCAAGTCTAGTGTCCAGCATCTCCTTTAAAAGCCTGTTTTGTGTTTTGTGGGATACCTCAGATGTCTTGTCCAAAAACAGCAGCTCAGGGCAGAGCTCATGAGCTCAGAGTCTCCTTCCAAAGATCTCAGCCTTCTCAGAATCCCCTCCCTCCTTTCTGTCACCTCTCGTGTGATGCCTCGGCCAGGCCAGGACTCAGGGTAGAGGGCCACACAGATTAGACTGTCTCTTGCTCTAGGGCAATGGTTGCAGCTTTGAAGTTCTGATCAGGCCACCAGAAGACTACAATAGGAGTTTTGGGCACTAGCCCCAGAGTTTCTGGGATGAGGCCTGGGAATAAGCATTCAGACAAGTTCTAAGAGCTGCTGATTCTTCTTGTTGAGGGAGCACCCTTTAAGAGGCACTGGTCTATGGCAACTTTGTTTCTTTCTATTTTTCATTTATGTATTTGGAACAGGGTCTCATTATGCAGCTCAGATTCATAGTGATCATCCTGTTTTCAGCCTCCCCAGCACTGGGATTACAGGTGTGAGCCACCATACCCAGACTTGTTTGCAGGCTAAGTGTGCCCTGGGGGCGGGGCCAGTGGGGCATGTGGGACTGGGAATCGAATCCTGGGCCCTGCACTTGCCAAAGCAGGCATTTAGTCTGCTGAGCTATCTTGCCGGCCCTAAGGCAACTTTCTTGAGTATATTTTTAGATCAAAGACGCACTTGGGGATCTGTTGAGAAGCTTTGCTGTTGTTGCCTGGAAAAACAATACAGTAGTGCTGAAAAAAACCTTACAATTTCAGGGTTCCCCAGACTTAAAGAAATTCATGCATGAGCTTTTAGGTTTAAAACCTCCTCACTCTGGTTAAGAGAAGAATTTGAAAATTTGTAAGGTACATTAAAGAAAAATTCTCACCGAAAACAAAGGAATTTGGTAGCAAATCAAGTAAGCATCTGTTCCCTAAAAGCTGGACTCCAAGTTTCAATTCCTGTCCCTGACATTCGCTAGCTCTGCTTTGGTTTCCTCCTCTGTAGATGAGGACTAACCCTAAAAGCTAGTTGTAGAGTCTTGTGAGCACTACACACACTCATAAACACAAAGTGTGTAACACCGCGCAAGGTGCAGGGTGCGCATGCGTGCAGAGCTTGTTCCTAGTCCCTTTACCTTGAGGAGTCCTACTGATTCAACTTCCTGATGCAATACAAGCCTTCCACTCTCAATATCCACAGTCCTTGTTTAGGTTCTAACTATACCTTGTGTGCCACACTCTCATCTTTCCAACTGCTTCTTAGTTTGATTTTCTCCTCTCCTGGACATCTCCAGATAACACCCACAGTGTCCCCTCTGTACCTGTTCAGTTTGTGTCACTGTAGCAAAGTATCTGAGGCTTGGCACCTTATAAAGAAAAGAGTGTTGTTCAGTTCCCTGCTCTCAGTGCTCTGGTGAGGATTTGGGGCCACATCACATGGTGGTGGCTGCATGATGGGCCTAAAATGAACAGAGTGAGATGGAAACCTTGAGGTACCGAGGAACCAGGCCCACTTCCAATAACGTGATTAATCAGGGTTCCATAAGAGCCTCAATAACCCTGTCAACAGCCAGGCCCAATGTATTAATCACCTGCAGCAGATCCTACCTGTAATGGATTCTTCCACTCAGCACTGCCACACAGAGGGCTGGGCTTCTGGCATATGACCTCTGGGAGACACACTCAAGTCATACACCAGCACAGCACATCCCAAGCCTGTCCATCCTCTCGTCCCCCACTTAAACTCTTCCGAAGACTGCCCCATCACACAGGAGAAAGTTGAGCCTGATAAATCATGAGCTCTGTGTTATTCCAGAGCTACCCCTTCTTGAACCTCTGTTTTCCTTTCTCTCTTCTGCCCATGCACAGGATGCACAAACTGACTCCAGGCATGCTATACTTCTAATATTCTATGACCTTAAAACAAATCGTCCCATCCTCTGAAGGCCTCCCCGCTCCCTTATGGAAGACCTCTAGGGGATATTCTTCAAAATCTCCAGGAGTGCCTTCTCTTCGCTGTCTCTCATGTCCAGGCAGAACAGATCTCTCCCTTCCCGTGACCTGCCATACCTTGTACTGTCTGCTGCTTCTAGCACTTTAGGAATGCATGCATATACTTTTAAATCTGTAGCAGACACAGAAAGCTATTCCCAGTGTCCACTTTCATTTTCTACAAGACAATCTCATTTCCCAAAGTTCATCTCCACCAGGATCTGTCTATGTTCAGGACCTGAAGAGCAAAAAAGAGAAAATGTTGAGATAGTTTCTACTGGCAAGCACAGTGGTGAGACAGGAAGTTTCTCTACCTCATATATGGGTAACCAGCCAATTGCATTATGCTTGTCAGGAGTCAGTTTTAACAACGGTATTAGCAGCTTCCCAACAGGGGATTTCTGATTCTTAGACTGCAAATATGTGGCATGTTATCAGCTCTGGAACCTAGAACTCAGTAATTACCCAGTTTTAGGCTTGCTGCCTGGCCACCTCCCTGATTGGGTAGAGGAAATCCCTGTGTAGAAGTCACGCCTAATGTCTCTAACCTACTCCTCTAGTCCTTGGAATCATTTTTTATAAGTTCCTAGTCCCCCTATTAAAATCCTATCTGCTTGAAACACCTGGAATGCCTTCTTATTTCTTAAGCTGAAAACTGACCGACAGGACCTACCTCACCCTGCTGAGTTATTTGTAGGCTATGAGTGAGCCTCACTCATCTTTTCATCCTTAGTGTCCAAGAAAAGAGCAAGAGAAGATTCTGGAAAATGAGGCCTTAAAGACAAGGGTGGAGGCATTGACCTGCACTGGGGAAAAACTGATTTTCTCTGTTTACCAAATGAACCCAGAATGGCTCTCAAACCAACCAGAAAACCAATACACATGCACCACTAGGAACAACACAAACAAGGACCAAATAAGGACTGGGATGACAGTATCAGATGAGGGGAACTCAGTCCCTACCCCCATGGGATCTGGGTTTTGCCCTCTACCAATGCCTGCAGCCCCCAGGAGACTGCTCAGGAGTGCAGAGGACAAGGCAGAAGGCTGCACCTGCCTGGCGTAACTCCCTCAGGAATGCATCTGAGAAAACTGCAGAATGTAGGAAACAAGCTTGGCCTGCACTCAGTTTAGCCCTGGGTCTAAACACAGAAAGGCTAGAGAGCAGGGCCTACTACTGTGCAGGGCAAGGAGAATGAGGAGTGTGGTTCATGGAAAACAAGAAAGGGTGTGGTGAGACTCCACACACTGTGGAACTCTGGTGCATTTGTGCTTAAGTCCCAGATCTGTTGCTAATCACTGTGAGACATAAGGCAGATTCTTAAGACTCCATGACACTCTTCTCCTAACCTCAGCATTAGAATCCTTACTTCAGAGGACCATTGTGAGAAAGGAAAAGATAGGGGGTCAAACCCCTGGCTATAGGTGGGGCAGGGGGGCTTATAGGAAGTGTGGGGGCAGGAGCAGGGCCAGAGTTATTGCTCTGGCTTCCTGACAAGAAAAGAGCAGCTTCCAGACAGAGCTCTGGAAACCCATTCCTTGTCCACTCTCCAGATATGCCTTAAAGTCTCGTCTGGTATTCTTCCTAGTGTGGACACTCAATCCTATCCAATAACTGATGTAGTGTTCTGCTTGGCTTTCTTTTTCTTTTCTTTTTTCTATAATTTTATTGAGAAACAAAGAGCAATGAGACAGTTTCAAACCAAATTGGTAGGACAGTTTCAATAATTAACACATTGCATGCATTCTTCCTAGTGGTTAATTGCTGTACAAGATGCAGACATGATATCCTATTTACAAACACCATTAGAACAAATCCCTCTATTCATTAAGAGAATGTAACTATATATCTATTCTAACCACTTTGGATACACAGATACCAAATGGACATTCATCTGTATCCCCTTTTTTGTTAAGTTCCATTATTTCAATATTATAGGTGTGTAAACTCAGCAAAATATTCTAAAAGAGTTTTGCTTGGTTTTCTCAATGTTCTCTTTGGAGGGATGGCACTGAGGCTGCTCTGAAGGGTGATTTCTCAATCTAATCATTTGTCTGCACTTGTCCAAAGCCAAGTGCAGAAAGGATGATTCCCGGAAGTTAAGTGCAGAGAGGATGAGAGGTAGGAGGGAGGTGTTCCAGGAAGGGTGCTCTTGCCAGCCTGGGCCAAAGTGGAGGACTTGGCCTTGCCTCTCTGTAATCATGTTGTCCATGCTCGTCAGTAAGCTATTAGCATTTGAGTCTAAGCCAGTCTTTCTGTGGCATCCCGCAGGGCTCTGGGTTTAATGCAACTTCTTCTACATGAGCTTGTTATGAATTTCAAAAGACTAGAAGGCTTTGCTAGAATATTGTCATACTCCCTCAGAAGAAAAAATCCTAAAGCTCTTCAGGAAGTCCTCAAGCTCTGAGGTGACAGTGTACCCATTGTAAGGAGTCTGTGGCAATCCATGGCCTTTTGGCATCTTCCATGGCGCTAGCTACAGGGCATCCCCAGGTGGATAGATGTTAGGGAAGAGCACGAAGGAACAGCAGCCCTGAAAAGATGGCGATGGTGGCACACACAAAATGCCTGTGACATCCACTGCAGGAGAATGGAGACATTGCCTCCATTTCTGCTTGGGAATGGAATCTGGATCAGGAATAAAACTGCTGTGATGGGCACCTATCATGGGCACCACACAGTAGCAGGAGCTTTTGTAGCTCAGGCAGACTGGGCACCAAACAGTTAATCTATTACATCTGAGCTTCTACAGACAGTGGGAATATTTGATGTTTCTGCACAGGAAGCTTGTCCTAGAGCACATAATTCCTGCACAGCAGGGGAGCGTTTTTCAGGTTGAACTCTGTCTGGAAGCTGCTCTTTTCTTGTCAGGAAGCCAGAGCAATAACTCTGGCCCTGCTCCTGCCCCCACACTTCCTCCACCAAGAGCAACACAAGGGCAGCATAACCCTGTGAGACTGTCAGAGGGCAGAGTAGAGACTCAAAGAGCTCCCACCATGCTCCTTGCACAGGGGAGGAAAACAATCTTATTAACTGCCTTTGGCCATCTGCACCCTTAGTCCATAGGCACAGGGAGATTGGCATTTCTTTCTCTACCACTGCCATAAAAGTATCGCATTGTTTTGTCTGTCTGGGCAAGATATAAACAAGGAGAAATTTAGAAAAGGGTGAGGACAGTGTGCATGCAAGAGGACCAAGAAGAGAAGCCACTGACCCAGAGGATTCCTGAATTCTAGGTGAAAGGCACGTAGAACTGAGGGGTGGTGTTAGGGGTGGTGTTAGAGGAA